CAAGGCATTTTTCTCTCTGTATAGTTAAGCAGCCTAAGTAATGCCTGACTGACTCTCTGCATCAGCTGCCCAGAACCACAGAGGGAAGTCATGAGAAACCAGAGATGTGCTATAGCAACCCAAGGCCACCAATAGGAGCTCTATAGATCCCAGGCCATTCCATGTTATTATCCTGGTCACTGCCAAAGCACCATAAGAAATCTATTGATCAAGTTTTGTGCTGGGAGAAAGTAGGGGGGAAAAAATGGAAAAACCATTTTAACATCAGACCTGATTTTTTGGGTGGGGTGGGGTGGAAAGATGACGCTAGGAGCTTCAGTTATGATCTGAGGATGAGACAAAGACTGCATCAATAGGGACCTATCCTTAGAGAATGCTTAGCCGGCCATCCCACCTGCTGGAAATTTGCTCTCTGGAGCTACATTGACTCTGAACCCTCCTTGCATTTTTCAAGTCTCTTTCAATGTGGTTTTTAACTTATTGTGACTGCAGGCAGCTATCAGCTGTTCTGTGATGTGGTGCAGTGTGGAATGGCATGGTATTTAATTGAGATTGATATTAGTTTTCTTGTTTATTCTTTTATTATGCACCAGTGGGAGTCTGGTGATTGTGTTGGGGTGTGCATATGTGGATCTTTGTTTTAAGTTTGATACTGCCAAAGGCAGTAATGAAACTATTCATCCATTCAAGTTTATTTTATATATAGCTTTTTAATTAGTTTTTATATTACATTTTAATTAATGGCTGGCTAGAATTTTTTTTTCTTTAACTATTACTTGTGCCTACTTGAAAAACTTTGAAAAGGAACAGAAGAGATCATGGTTTGGTATTCCCCCCCCCCAAATATTTGGTTTCAATCATTTTTTTTAAATCTTATGTTTATGTTTTGTTTTCTTAAGCTAGAGTAACAATAGAAAACACGTTGCTATTTTTGTTTTGTTGCTTTCTATAAAAGATTGGCTTAGATATTCTTGGAAAAAAGTTTTAAATTACCATTATTTAGCATATAAAACACTATTATCTAGTAAAGAAAATATATATCCATAATGCACCCAATCACCATCAATGATCACTGTTACATACAAATGCATTGTTTTATGTACCAGTACTATGAATATATTTGTATGTTGCCTGTTAAATATTTCAGTAGGAAAGCTATTTAATATCCTTTTATATTGTGTGCAAAGGCTGCACCCTGCTGGTTTTTAATAAAATAAGTGGAAGTATGAGGGATGCTTTTGTTTTTTAAGTTGCTTGTAAAAGAAATAGGATATATAGCATAATTAAAGAAAAATTCAGTTGGGATCCTAGCCATTCGGATTACAAAATAAATTATAAATAACTAAAATTTATTGAAGAATTAGATACATACCTAAAGGCCTTTGCTTGGAAATGTTAGCATACCAATGCTAACTTTTCAGAATATTTCTGAAATATTTCTTCTCATTCAGAATATTTATCTGACCCACCTTCCATCGTGTTGAAATAATAACTGAGAATTTCAACTATTCCAAGCTTGGCTTTTCTCTATGGCTGATACAAACATAGCCACATCTTCTCAGAAGACATTAAAACATTTTTTTTTTCCAGCTTCCTTCAACTCAATAATGAGCCGGATGAGAGAGAATAGGTGAAATTAAATCCAAACAAGGAGAAGATGATATTGTAAGAAGCAACGGGACTGGGGGGGGGGGGGAAGGTGAGGCCTATTTGGAATGGAGTTACTGTCAGGCCTGAAAGCCATCTTTTGTATTAGGCCTTCAAGCCTGCCACATTTACTACTGTGTGAAATTGGGAGGGGGGGATTGTATGGATATACAGTCATAATAACATTCCTTTCTCAGAGAGTCAAGGACATCTTGCCTTGCACCTGGACAGCTGGAACTGGGAGGCCTCTCCAGTTGGGACGGTGTTTGGATTAGACCATGTGATGAACTTGTGGATGCTGGGCAGGGACTTGGACTTTCCTTTGGGTGGGGAAAACCTGGAAGCTTTCAGATTCGGGTTTTCCCAGATGTGCCAATATGACATCTCTAATAAAAAGGAACTTTAAGGAACTTCAAGCCTCAGAATCTTTTTTCGATGGGGGTGTTACTTGGAACCCTGACAGTTGCACTCTTTTATAAAGAACAGGTTTGCAGTTTGGGGAGGCCAGTTTTCCCTGGATTTGATGAAGGTTGTGTTTGCAAAACCAACAGGTGACCTTTTCCTGAACTGGCTGGACTTCGCTATGGTTACATTTTGTCTTGACAAGGGCCTTGCATGCTATGTGCAGACAGCTTTTAAAAGGGATCAGAATCGGCTGTTGTGCAAATTGCTATGGTCAAACTTGTTGATCAATCCAAAGTACAGGGATATGATGCTCAGCAGAGGACCATTATTGAAGGGACAGCCTTCCTTTGTGTTACCTGCCCGGTTTCCAAGATCTGTAGGACAGGAAACTTTGAATACCTTCCCTCGTCAAAATCTCAGCTATCTGATACAGGGAGTCCTCATTTAGCAACCACAACTGGGACCATTAACTTGGTCATTAAGCAAAGTAGTCGCTAAGTGAAACAGTGACTGTGCTTATGATCCGACTTCAGATTTTCTTCACTTTACAGACCTGTAAAGGTCATGAATGTAAGGATTGGTCATAAAGTTTACTTTTTCATCACCCTCATAACTGCAAACGGTTGCTAAATGGGGCCGTCACTAACAAAGGCTACCTGTATGCAGAAGGAGACCATCTCCTCAGTCACTCCCAGGCTAGGGAAGATAAGGCCATTTGGTTCGTTTCTTGGGATTCAGAGAAATGGCAGAAACCCGGGTTTCCCCCCCACTATGCATTTAATTGTTAGCGGAACTGATTTGATTTTAACAGTATTGATTTATTTCTGCCTTAATTTTAATTGCGCTTTTATGCCTAACATTTTCTAATTTGCTAATGTTAATGATTGTAAACTCTCCTGATATAAATGACTGTTATGAATTTCATAAAGAAAGTGCAAAAAAAAAAAAAAATCTGCACTGACATTGCAGGGAAAATGCCCAGTGTTGTAAACCTACTTTAAAAAAAAGGCTGACTGAAAATTGACAAATGTCTGAGCCAGAAGTAAATGCAAAACAGGCCAATGCAATGTTTGGCTACGTCAACAGAAATGTGACTTCTGCTCCTGCTTTGGTCAGATCTTGTTTTGAGTACTCCGTCTGTTTCTAGCTTTACACTGTAAAAATAATTTGGAAAAACTGAAAACAGATTCAGCAACTGGAGATGATCAGGGGACTAAGATTTAAGGAAAGCTGAAGGAGTCTTAAGGAAAAAAAACTGAAGTGGAAAGGAATATGATTTCCATACTCAAATGTGAAAGTGTATGACAAGATCTCCACTCTCTCATTCCACAGGGCAGAACTCATAATGAAGGGTTTAAGTTACATGAAGAGAGATCCCAATGGAATGCTAGCAAAAGCTGAGAACAATTCAACAATGGAACCAGCGACCCACAAGACAATGGACTCCCCTTGCTTGGATGTATTGGTAGTCCTCAAGATACGACCTATGTACCTGCCTGGCTGCCAAGATCTGCAAGACAGGTCCGTGTGACAAAATCTCATTTAAAAGTGATACTCCTCCTTTAGTTATTGCAATTGGGACTGCAATTTGTTAAGCGAAGAATTGAGTTGTTGTTTTTTATTATAAACCTTTACTAAGTTAATCATTCAAAACTGAAACATGCCACAAAACACTGTAGATCATACAGGCCAACATTCCTTCCTCATATTAGAGAGAAGTGCTGGCAAAGAAGTTAATTATCCTCTTTCACTCCTTTTAATAATTGTTATTTTACAACTGACAGTAGAAATATGGTGGCTGCTGATCACCAAATATGCTCGGTCCTATGAAGCAGTTCTGTCCTCCGTGAAAAGTTATTGCCCTGAATTGTGAGAGGAAATGATACAGAAATGTGTATATTAATTAAAGATCCTCCCTTGTACCTTTATCTGAGGTAACACAAGCTAGGGAAAGGGCTGCTGCTTACTTCATCTCCATTATGAATGTCTTCCCTGCATATCCAAACAAGCACATACATGGAGTTCCATGCATGCAAGCTGATGTCACACAGTTCATTTCCTTAGAAAAACTACTGGAAGACTGAGGGCAATGCGGGGAGAGCTCATTTCAGTTGAAGAGAAGCAAAACACTGGGCTAGCCAGGGAAACCTTCACTCTTGCTCCCTACCGTTGAGTAATTTAGAAGCAACAGTAAGGATCCAACCTTTATTGCTAAACCATTCTTGGTTTATTTTTCCTGGAAGCAAACAGACAAAGTGCAGTTTGTGAGAGAAAGTCAAGATACAATGGAATAAATTGATAGCTTTCTGGTTTATGAGCTTTCTCTGGCAACAGAGTGGGAGTCTGATCGGAGGGCGGGGGGAACCCTTTTCGTAATCCAGAGAGGGGAAAAGTCACAGAATGATTATTTCTCCCCATCTCAGAAAGCTATTGGTGGACTTATGCCAGTTGAATCAGGGGTGAACTCCACTTACCTTCACTACCACTTCGCAAATGGGAGCAGGTGCGCTCGCTTTGCTCGCGCATGACACCTCTGCACATGCGCAGAAGGTCCTGCACATGCGCAGAGCATCAAAAATGAGACATGATGATGTCCGGGTGGATGGGAAGAGCCTCCCAGCACTGGCGCTACCAATTCACCCGAGCCGGATAGAACCAGCTGCATTTCATCACTGAATTGAATCATATCCTTTTAGCAAGACAAGATGCTGAGAAGCTAGAGAAGGTAGCGGAAAGTGAGAGCAGAATCACTATAGCTTTCGGGGCTTCTATAAACAGGGAACACTGTCCATTACCAATGACATCACTATCTCTTAAGAAAATGAAGTGACATCACTGGCCATCACCACTTGACCAGGGAAAGTAGTGGTAACTCTGGTTGCATGTAGGAACGGCTCCAGAGTAGACTAAGACAAGGGCAGGGGGGAAAAACCCAAACAGACAGAAGATTCATTTAAAATATCTATTGAAATTACAAATAAAACTCTTTGATATGATTCCAAAGTACAAAACAACATTCAAAGGCATTCAACAGCTCTTTTATACATCACAGTGTTAGTGGCACAAAATGTAGTTACATTTCAAATACAGGAACAAAATGTATTTCTTTTACTGTAGTCAACATCATTTATCGATATGCAGGACTCTTCCATGCTTCTCTATACAAGGTTAAAAAAAATCATGGTTCAATGAGCAGGGATGATTCAACTGTATGGCACATACCTGGACCTAATATTTTTGGACTCCAATAAGACAGGATTACATGTCTAACAAAGCAGGAACCAGCAGGGGACTTTAGACACAAAAGATGAGTTTTGTCATTTGCAGAAGTGTATTAGCAAGCATGATGGCTAAAAATCCCTTAATGCCACTATTTCCATTACACTCTGATTTCCTAGGACAAATCCTTTGTAAAACTAGCTTGCAGGGTATTTTGCATATGCACAAATTTACAATGGCTCTTAAATTTGCTCATGCTTCACCTTTGGAGGGCCCCGGCATTCCTGCAAAATGATTCAAAGAGGAGCTACTGCGAATGCCTTTTGTTTCTTTACACAGGCGTCAGGCAGAGTGGGGACAAGGGCTGAAAAGTTAGTTGCAATTGCCTTTATGAGCTGGTGCTGTGATATCCTGACACACATTTCATCGTTTGGCCTCACTGCAGGTAGGAATGAATGCCTACCACTCCTTGGTTTGCTTAGGTTGCCTAAAATAATTCTTTTTTAATTTATGTCAAGAACGTGTATGAGATGCAAAGATTCCAGTTAGGATCACAATAAGAATATTCCATCTCTCCAATTCCCATTATCGTGTTTCCCTGAAAATAAGACCCTGTCTTATATTTTTTTGAATCCTGAAATAAGTGCTTGGCCTTATTGCCATGCGCTCAAAAGCACGATTGGGCTTATTATCAGGGGATGACTTATTTTGGGGAAACAGGGTACTATTTTGAAAGGATGACTGTATCTTGGATGCCAATTATGGTTAGGTTTTTCCATTGGTGCCAGAGACAAATGTCACTCCTTACCTCTGCTAATCATCTAAAACTTGATAAATGGGAAAACTAGGAGAAGTGATTTCATTTTTGTTACTAGCAAAAAAAAAAAGAGAGAGAGAGAGAGAGAGAGAGAGAAAAGTTTAAAGTAATGCAACCAATGGATTAATTTTCTGTTACGGGAGAACAGAAGTGGTCAGATTTGCATTAGATAACAAGTACAAACCCTCAGCCCAATGGTTATGTCCTTATTATGCCACAAAATATTTTCTCTTCAGTTGGCTTACATATGCATGAAAGATTTTTTCATTTCTGTGTTTCAGTTGATTATAGAACATTTTGAGCTAATACTTTCTCCTAATTTAATATCTACACTTTACAGTTTCCACTCAAAACAAAATAACCAATAGTGAGTTATCAACTGTAGATAACCAGATGTCCATTTTATGGTCCTTCAGAATATGAAGAGAATATTAGTCAAAATATAAGGAAAGAGGGATATTTAAAAACAATGTTTGCTGTCACAATACTATACGTCACAAAACAGTAGTAGTTTTTTAAATGAATTAAATACACTTTTTGAACAGCTTTTAGAGTATGTATTATCACTGCAGACTTTTTAAATAATTGAAGCAATATGGAAGGGAGAAAACAGAATCTTTTTGAATTTAGATGGGACTATTACATCTATATATTATCCTTCTACATCCAGGCCACAGCTTAATGAATTGCGCTGAAAGGACATAAGGTGTCCCTCTCTCTGGCTGATCATCAGTACCTGCTGGACATTAGAAAAGATGGGGGGACATCTACACTTTCCATATACCCCTCCAACTCATGCCTTGAACCCTCAGGCTCTAAGAAAGATGAACTGTTATGGAATGGCCTGATTCCTTAAAGAGGGAAACCAGTTCTGCTTCTTTCATGGTTCACAAAGCAGAGTCCATGTGGGGAATGACGGTGATTGTTATGTCTTCAGGTTAACACTTATTGCCGAAAGAGAAATCATAAGCCTCAGACCTTCCCATAATTTAGAACATGCTTGGCTTCTACAAAATATTTTTTCCTAGATATGTAAAAGGATACCAGATTAGAGCAGCTCTATTTACATGTAGCAAATAGGTAATAAACAATAGGTAGAAACAAATCTCGGTAGGAAACAAAAGGCACAGTTGGACAAGGCTGGCAATCAGGGCATGGTGCATATCCCTACCTTCTTCATCTTGGCATCTCCCAAAGTGGCATATCCTATTGGCCAGCCTGTCCCCAATCATCTCAGCCCCCTCCTTTTCTCCTCTCCCCTGCTATTCCTCAACTGCCATGGTGCCAACTTTTGTCTGTTAAATCTGAAGTCCTCTAAACTGAGATCTGTTAAATTAAGGATTTAATATCACCTTGATGTTTAAAAGATTTTGATTATGTAACAGTTCTGGGCCATATAACTCAACCATAAAACTTTGAAATCTTCCCTCCCAACCCTCAAGCAAATTTAAAGAAAAAACCAAAATGTGGACATATCCACCTACATAGATTTTCAAATATTAATGGGCAGAAATGGCACCTTTTAGTCTTGAAAATCTAAGGCCTGGGGCACCTATCTGGATGCCATTACTTTGTGTGAGGAAGATGGGCAGTGGAGATGAGACAAGAATGCTTAGACGTTTTCCAATTGCAAATATTAAGAAATTGATTTTAATAAACAGATATTGGAAGTCACATCTAAAATGAACATATAATTGGTAATGGGCTTGCCAAAACCACCTATGCCAAGGGTAAGAACTTCTCTCTGTTTAATGTGAATAGATATAGGAAGATTTTCATCTGGGTAATGTCACTCAGTTCCAGAGAATGTTGTCCCCCAAAGAAGATGGAATGACTCAGATCATTGATGCACACACTTCCAATGTTCAGCTTGTTTTCTGCCAGTCCTTAAACTGTTACTCATAATCTGACTGGTGGATAGGGAACTCTGGTATCAATAGTTCCTGGAATTCTGGTGCCTCGCTTCTCACTCAAAGTGGAATAAGGCAAGACGCTAACAAGATTAAGTGCAAAAGGGGTAGGGGGGTAGGAAACGGACAGCGATGATGAGTAGGTCCCTTCTTCATTCTCTCTTAAGTAGGCAGAGGGTCATCGTCTCCTTTACTACACTTGCATTTGCAGCAGAGGACAAACGGAGTAGCGAGGAGAAGAAAGGGCGATGCCACTAGTAACAGTAGGCCAAATCCTGCAAAAATCCCCACGACCTGCATTAGGAAAAGAAAAAAGTAACACAAGTGAAAAATGTTCTTCCATTCTGCTTAACCGGATGAGAATTGATAGAGCCCTATTAACTGTTGGGCCTGCAGTGTTTTCATCTTCTGGTTGAGGTCCACATAAGAATAAGCTGCTCTCATTTCTTCCTCTGTCACTTAAGGTAGAGACCGAGGAAGACTATGTAGGGAAGGAAGTTTTTGGGCGAGGGAAAACAATTCTTTGTGAGATTCAGACACACTGTCAGTAGATGACCAAGTGCAAAAGACTGGTAAATGTTTTGAGATTCTTTTACACAAGAAAAACATTGAAGAATTTAACCTACTGATCTCTCCCCTTCCCTTTCATTATTCCCTTTTCGAATGGAAGTTGATTCTACTAGTTATGCATATTTCCAGGGCTCCCCCCAAATCCCTGGACTTTTTGTGGACAAATGAAAAGGCATTTGTGAATCCACACTGACAGCCCAACTGGCCCTTTAATCCTAAAAGCTTTGGAGAGTTCTGCTGTTCCAGATTAGCCTCAATGGGCACATGGCTTCTCCATCAATCCAAAAGGTGGAAGCTGCATCCAACAGCACTTACAATTTTGCAGCCAATAAATGCTCCTTCTATTGAAGTAGAAGTATATAGTGATTCTAGCACTAAGACTAGGGATGGGTTGGGTTCCTCAAGTCTCAGAACGGAGACATGTTTGGGGTCACCATCTGATCTAACAAGACACAAAGTGCAAGGATAAAGATAAGGACTAAAGCATTGCAGGGCAAATTTGACATTAGGCAGAATAAAGGCAGTAGAAATAAAAAAGAGCGACAGGGATCTGTGTGAAGGTCATCCCTCAGCCTTGGAGTATTTTAGCTTATGTTGATTCTGTGAGGTTGAACTAAAGCAACACAGGAGATTTTGAATTTGGCAAGATATTATTAGATATGAATCTCATGCTTAATGCAGGACTCAAACCTTCTGCTGAGCTAACCAAGAGCTTAAACAAAAGAATTTAAAGTAAAATTCTCCTGATTTTACAAGGGACAACCTAAAAGTTAGCATAGCAGAGATAGTGTTCAAACAGATTTCCACATAGCTGTTGAAATAAGAGTGTCATATTTATTTTAAAGTCTATTTTCAGATATATTTTTTTCCTTAAAAAATTGAATCTATGTTACCTACTTAATACTATTTAGAGTTTATTATTTTTCATCAGAGAAATAATGAATAATGAAAGTTCTTTTTTTTTGTCACCAGATGGCAGGGTTGAACAACATTCACTCCAGGAGATTTAAAGTGGTGTTATGTAACTGCATACTTGGAAGTCCTATGTGGTTGCAAAAATCCACATTATTTTAATTTTTTAACAATTCATTTTGCAGAGGGGTGAATTTATGGCTGTTTCACTTCATGAAAAATATTGTGGCTTCCTCCTTCACAGCTGGCTATGTTGCTTTATCCATAATAACTCTAACAGCCCTCCCTCTCCCTTAGGTTGTTGCAATGCTTCCAGGAGTATTTTAATTCCTTTCCAAAAGAAACCAGAGCACAATCCTAACCACTTGTCCTCCCTTCCTAACCATGAGGGAAGATGTTAAGAAATGTTGAAATATTCCCTGGAAGCTCCCAGCTAGCTCTCTTTGGCAGAGGAGCAGCAGGATTCAGGCAGGTGGAACAGTTAGAAGTGCTCCTCTAGAAAGTCCCTATTAGGAGAAAGGACAAAGATATTCAGGAGAAGAAGCCCAAGGAAAACATTCCTCAACTCTTTCTGTCCTGGTAATCTTAGCAAGTATAGTTGGGAGGAGATAGTCTCTTCCCATCGTCTCTGCTGTAAATTAGGATTGCCCCTTGTGATTCTTTGTGCCTTTGAGTGAGTGTTGTTTCCTAGTAACTGCCTGGATTAAACTCTGAAGTTTTCCTGGAAAGTTGTTTAGAAGTGGTTTGCCATTGCCTCCTTCCTAAAGCTAAGATGGAGTGAGGTAACCCAAGGTTACCCAGCTGGCAGTGTGCCTAAGGCAGGACTGGAACTCACAGACTCCAGTTTCTAGCTTGGTGCCTTAACCACTCCACAAATGGCTCTTGGGATTCTTTGCACCTTACATCAAAGTTTATCAACAACGAAACTGACTGTAAAAATGTACAGTGACTATACAAAAGTAGCTAGCTAACATCTTTTTTTTAAAAAAAGAACTATTTTCTATTTTCTTTGACTCATTTCTTTTACGAGCAATTACTCCATAAATATGGAATTATTTCATAATTTTCTGAGCCATAATTCTTTAAATTCACTTAAACTCTGCATAGTAAAGATAGAGAAGCACCTACCTGTGTTCTGTGCCAAATAACCGATGCCCTAGAATGACCTAACTTGTTTCGGCAAGGTCCTTTGTCATAATGTATAAGGAGAAAGTCATCCTAGAAAAGAGTAGAAAAAAGACTTTTTGGAGGCTTTGGATGCTGAATCTTGGCGAACATTCATAATGCTTCTCCTAAGCAAAGCTGGCAATAGTCACGTCTACTCTCATTGGTCACAAGCCCAAAATAGGCAAAGTGAAGTGAAAAAGTCACTCACTCCAGATGATGGAGATGCCCATGATGGTACAGTAATCATCAGCAACATCATTGTTCTTATTATCTTTTATTGTCTTTTCCATATACGAGTGGAACAGCAATACAGCTAGCATATAATTCTAGGTTCTGTAAATTGGTCTTTGATACTTGACATATTTCTTCAAAATGTTGATTCTCTAATGACAATAATATCATATGCTGTATATACAGTGCTGTATAGTATGTACAAATCCCAAATGTGAGCTTTTTAACTAATGCTGTCTTTCTGAAATGGTATCACACACCATAAATTCCTTGTGTGTCCAATCACACTTGGCCAATAAAGAATTCTATTCTATTCTATTCTATTCTATTCTATTCTATTCTATTCTATTCTATTCTATTCTATTCTATTCTATTCTATTCTATTCCAATGAATGAATGAATATATATATGTGTGTGTGTGTGTGTGTGTGTGTGTGTGTGTGTGTATGTATATATGTGTATATATATGTGTACAACAAATTATTACTTCTACAAATGTAACATAATAATAAAGAATTTAATATTTAAATGGTTAACTTATCAATGTTGGTCTATTCATTTTTACAAATTTGAATATCCTATAAAATGGCATTTAAAAGGTCTACTTTTTGGGTCCCCTGATTGCAGTAGCTTTAATGAACAATAATATTCTCATCTTAAAATGAAAACTTACATCAAGTGATTCCAGACAATACCAGCAGAAGGCATGCTTACAATTTTTACACATCATTTGGGCACAGCCTTCATCCCTTTCAATATAAACTTTGCATTTTGGGCAGCGCTTGATTGGAGCATCATCTTCTTCCATTTTATAAACAGAGCTGGAAGAAACAGATTGATTATATTAGTGAACAAATACTCTTTCAGTATATGTCACTTTCAAATTGAAATTATTTCTGTGTGGCCCAATAGTGAAGATTCCCACCTCCCACTTGGAAGGTTGAGAGTTCAATCTTAGTTATTGGCAGATGTTTCTCTCTCCTAGATTGCAAAGAAAAAAAATACACTACTCAAAAAAATAAAGGGAACACAAGCAGAAGACATCCGAGATCTGAATGAATGAAATAGCCTTTTTAAATACTTTGTTCGTTACATACAGTAGTTTTGTGTTCCCTTTAGTTGTTTGAGCAGTGTATAAACTACTGTATGTAAAGAACAAAGTATTTAATAAGGCTATTTCATTCATTCAGATCTCGGATGTCTTCTGCTTGTGTTCCCTTTATTTTTTTGAGCAGTATATTTGCTCCAAACCCTGTGTAGGCATCAAGAAGGGCATTCAGCCAGTAAATGCTCAACTCTATCTAGTCGCCCAAACTCTACCCTGAATAGGACCACAGGGTCATAAAAAGGGAGATATGTGATACAACCATATTCAAAGACAGATTCTAAGACCATCCTTTAGTTTTGTTATTCAGTCTAACTGGATAATTAGCAACATCTACAGTAACACAGGGCAAGATTTTCATTTTTGGAGCATGCTTATAATGCTATATTGCCTATAAATGAAGGGAGAATTTGCATTGCAACATCATGATATTGCTTCTTTTTTTATATATAAAATAATTTTTATTGAGTATTTTACATTTTAAAACCAAACACATAATAGCAAAAGAAATCAAGAGACAAAAAACAAAAACACACATACACCAGACGTTAAAATACAATACTAACAACAGATATATACAATTTTGCAACTTTCTGCATCGACTTTTGTCTTTACTCTTAGTTTTTATCCTCCCGCTCCTTCTCTTTATTTTTAAATATTCATAATTAACTGTTTTGTTAGCAGTATCATTATTTACATTTATATCCAATATGTTAATATCCAATTTCACTTTATATTCTTATTTCTTAATTTGATTTCTGTTTTCCAACCATGTATAAAACCTATTCCACACTTTATAATAATCCGAGTCTTCTCTTTCTTTGATCTCCATTGTTAATTTATCTATTTCGGCGCATTTGAGGATTTTCTTTATTATTGTTTCTTCCGATGGTGTATTGGTCGACTTCCATATTTGCGCTAGAGTAATCCTGGCCGCCGTTAGAATATGCAATATAATATAATAGAGACTTTTTTCCATTTTTCTATCAATCATTCCTAGGAAGCAACAGTGTAATTGCTTCTTACTTGCATCACTCTGAGCCCCATGTCCTCTGCTACGATTGTTACTGATTCTAAGGTTTAAAAAAATCCAGTCAACTAACAACACGCCACCTGAGACAACATGAAACCAGCCTTGTGAAAGCCGGGTGAAAAAGCTGCTAATCATATGTTAGGAATACAGGCACCTCACTCAGTAGCTCTGTACCTTGTTTCCCCTGGAAGGAAGCTGACTGGCATATTATCTTGGCATCCTTGTCCTGGATGCCAGTTAGATTTGCATGCTGAGCAAAACTCTATGTCACAGACTTTGCACTGCACCAACTGGGGGCTCTGAGGTCCTGATTCCTGAAGCTGGCAAACTGCTTGGCAGGAAGAAGAGGGGCACCAAGTCCGACAAGGATCCAAAAGCACTTCTGTTAAAAAAATAAGGCACAGTTGAGAAAAGCTGTAGTTTAACAGCAGAATTAATAAATTTAATCCTTATGGAGGGCTGAGATAATAGATTAGTTATCCATAATCTGGTGTAAAACAGTTACTTATATTCCAGTGACAAAGGTAAAGATTTGGGATTGATCTTGAGTTATGGAACACAATGAGGAATGTCCAGTGTCTTGTAACACTGCATTCTAAAACTAATATAAAATATGCAGGGAACAATGCAAACATTTTATTTTCAAATACAATAGGAAAGCAAAGAAAACATGAGCTATTCCTGCCTCTGTTCCCTCCCCACAGTGTTCTACAACATCCCATGCACAGTAGTTTCTTGGAAAAAGAATCCAAACTCAACAGAATTTGGTTTCCTTTTAATAAAATAATGTTACATACTGTATAGTAAAAAAAAAAAAACACCTTCCCACATCACCCTCACAAAGGAAAAACAAACTGCTTAATCACCTTATCCCCAGGAGCCCTTGGTGAGAAAAAGAATAATTGAAAAACTCCTCCTCTCCTCGTAGCCATGAAAACATTGCTTGAACCTAGTCTATAATCTCGATTTTTATAATACAATATCAAAGATAATATAATGATCCCTTATATAAGTCTTCTTTGCCGTGCCTGTGTGGGATGACTTTGTTTTAACATTTTTTATCTCCTCAAATTAGAGCCAACCAAATTTTGCATGGGCATGACATATCGGTGAGTTTGGTGTAATGGTTAAGGGATAGGAACAAAACTCAGGACATGATGAGTTGTAGTCTGCCTTAACCATGAAAGATCCCTGGGTGACTGTGGGCCAGTCATTCTCTCTCAGCGTGCTTGTTGTGGAGAAAATAGGAGGCAGGAGTATTACTGATGCCTGCCTTGAGTTATACAAAATAAAGGCAGGGTATAAATCTAATGAAAAATGAAATAAAAATCACCTCAAAACACTCCCCCTGATTTATATAACAATAAACGGAAATATTCCAGAAAACACTGAACAAAGCAGAATAAAAGAAAGTGAAAAAGAAAAAATGGAACCAAATTATTTCTCTAGTTTGGGGCGAACTATGGATTCTAGATTGTGGCCACATACGATACCTCTTTCAAATTGTAGTTTTTTATATCTCTGCATTATTTCTGATGCAACCATACACTCAATCTGTTGAGGAGAGAAGAAGCAAGAAATAGCATTTACTATAACTACATTGCAACCAAAAGGTTATCAGACAAAAAGGAACGTAATAAAAAAACCATGATTTGTAATTAGAAGAAAGTGTGACTATAACGTAAAATAAAGATGTAGAGGGAACGTACTTCATTTTCTTGTAAATGCCCTCGTTTTGGGCAAGCAGCATCAGGACAGCTAATTGCTGTTTCAAGGCCTTCCTTGATCAAAAGCTCCACATACTGTTTCAGGCACTGTGAAAAGTCAGGGGAAAGAACTATAAATGCCACACAGTGACTGGGAGATATATACTGTAGAATATTGAATACTTTTTCAGATAATGAAGTCAACATAAGCCTTAGGAGTTCATTCACAGGAGTAGCCTAATTACATCTGGGCCCTTTTTGTGCTATTATCTGCAAAATTCTTTCCAATAATTCTTTGTTAACAAAGGTACAAGGTTTGCTGCGTGAATGCTCCACTCAGCAGGCAAGCCTAAGGAACTTGAATGGTTCCAGATCGGATATCATGGCCAAACCATGATTTGAAGTCAGAAATACCGGTATTCATTCTTTCTTCATATGAGTTCCTTCTCAGTTTCTTGTTTTAGGTTACTTTAACTTTAGTCACTCAGTGATTTTCATGTTTGAATCCCAGCCCAGCTACGATACTACACAGTTTTGGTTTTGTGGTTGCACCAAGCCAACTTTTTTGAAGTCTGGCCTATTTTTCTTATCAAGCAGACCTTTTCCAAGGACTTTCTCCTTCCTTCCTTCCTTCCTTCCTTCCTTCCTTCCTTCCTTCCTTCCTTCCTTCCTTCCTTCCTCCTTCCCTTCCCTCCTCCTTTCCTTTCCTTTCCTTTTCCTTTTCTTTCCTTTCCTTGCTTCCTTTCCCCTTTCCTCTTCCAAACCACAATTGGAACAGTTTGCTTTGGTCCACATTGATTCAGCTTTCCTCTTCTTGTCTTTGCTGGAAGAAGAAGAGTTAAATGCAAATGAGATAATGTCACCTACTAGCAGAACCAGAACAGCAAAATTTGATCTACTGTGTTATCATCTAGTTATTAGCTGTTCAATACTTCAAAGGAAACCATAAAGGTCACCAGAGACAGCATGGTCTTACATGGTCCATGTTCCTTGCAGGCAGTATAATATCAAACATACTGATCCTGCAGCTCATTAATGTCACTCGTTTCCTTACTTCCCCTCTGAATAAAAAAGATAGGCAAGAACTTGGAGAAAGAAGCAGTTGTTGCCCTCTGATTGTGTGCTAGAAAAAAGAACGTGGGTGCAGAATCACATATTGAGTGAGGACGATAATGATTAATTTAAGGAGAACTATACTGTATTATGGCATCTTATCTTAAACAGCTGGAGTTGCTCTAGATGCATTTCACAAGCAGAACTTTGAAGAAATTGCTTGTTACATTTATGAACTAAACCAAAATATGAAATATGCTTCCATTCTGTGAAATGTGTGACTGAATGGATCATCTTTTTTTTAAGAGCTGCATTTAGTAAATATTAGTTTGCAAACTTTCAATGAATTCCCATCTTCCCATTCATGTCAATGGAAGTCCCATATGTGTACTGTACATTTTTTTTAAAATTTGATTTATATGCCGCCCTTCTCTGGAGACTCAGGGTGGCTTACAATGCATTAAGCAATAGCCTTCATACTTTTGTATATTTATACAAAGTCAGCTTATTGCCCCCACAAACTGGGTCCTCATTTGTACATTTGCTGTTCTCCTAATAGGAAATGAACTTGTACATCCCCTGGACTTCCGTAATGTCTTCTTCTGACTGGGAATGACTGTCTTGTGCATAGAATGTGCAGTTCATTGCTTAGGAGCCAAATGGGAACTAATGATAATTAATTCCCACAGTATGACACCTGTGTAATTATTATGCCCCTAGATGGTAAACATTTTCTGTTTCTATTGTAACATCCTATGAGATATTCATTTATAAAATTTAAGAATGTTGAAAAAAATGTATTGCCTGATGAAAATATTCCTTTGTGATTAAATACTATAGTACATTAGTTCTCATAACAAAAAATATTATTTGATCATTCAAGATCAGTAATAAAACAATAATCTTAAAACATTACACACACACACATATTAATATGGTCTATTGTTATAGAAATTAAATCTCTACTATGCTTTTGGTGATGCTGAAACTTTAGGAGCCTTAGTATTTGCTGTAAAAATTGCCAATTTGAAGGTTCATACGCAAATGGTATGCATAACAATGTGAATCAAGAACAAAACTGATAGCTGCTATCCTAGTCAAGAGGTCAAAGAATGGATTAGGAGTACATGTTTTCTATCACTTGTAAGCATGAATTTACAAGTCACAAATCCAAGGAATGGGGAAAACAAAGTTGAAACTGATGAAGTTAAAAGAACTCTTAGTCCACCTTCTCTTTATTTTCTTTATACCAGAATAGTAAAGTTCAACACAATCAGAAAACTCCAAAATTTTGCCTAACCCCATTGCAGACAATCATTGTTTCATTCATACAACCTCAGTACTATGCTAATCATGGTACTGGCTGGCCAGAAGAAATTTTTTGCAAGCGTCACCACATGATCTAATGCAGTGGCATAATCTGTAGGAGATGGATGGCAAAAGAGTTTTTCTCTTCTCACAAGAACTCTACTGGATTGCAAACTGGATCAGTTGATCGGATTTATTGTCTTTTTAACTGAATATCGTTTTCTGGATGGAAATGCACTTGTTAAAAGTAAACTATTTATGCTGAGCCACCAGGAGCCTGGTGGCGCAGCAGACTAAAGCACTGTTATTAACATCAAGCTGTCTGCAATTACTGTAAGTTCAAATCTCACCAGGCTCAAGGTTGACTCAGCCTTCCATCCTTTCTAAGGTAGGTAAAATGAGGACCCAGATTGTGGGGACAATAAGATGACTTTGTATAAATATACAAAAGTATGAAGGCTATTGCTTAACGTATTGTAAGCTGCCCTGAGTCTCCAGAGAAGGGCGGCATATAAATCAAATAAAAAAAAAAAAAACAACAACTATTTGACAGCTTCCAAGAAACAACTTGGATATAGATCGAGAGATGAATGGTTGAGAAACTAGATGGAATTATGGGCCAGTTTTTAGGGCTGTTACTGATAGTGTTGCTGAAGATATTTAGAAAATATGCTTCTCAACTTTTAAGCTCACTTAAGAATGTCTGAATCAGATTCAGATTTATTTTTATAATTTTAGGTAAGGGTGAAGGAGAACGTATCCATGTTGGCCCCATTCTTCCATCCTGACCTTTTAGCTCTGTTCTTGTCAACTGGCAGCTTTAATCTAAAACAATGTGGCTTGCACAATAGGCATAGCAGCTCTAGAGAAAATGTGCACGATGTGTAATACTTATTTAAATCCCTAAACCTCTAAAAATATAACCAACAAATTGTAAGTTGCAATTTGAAAGAAAGGAAAAATAAATACAGTGTACTTTATCAAATCACTGTTTTTCATTCATTTCAGTGAATTAATTGTAATTTAACATTCAATCCAGTTTAGGATTCTTGCTGTTGTTTCAACCCCACACATACACATTGCCAATCCCCTGGATGCATTCTACCATAAAGCCAAATCACCTTTTGGCCTGGAAAAGGTTGCTTACCCTTGGCTCTACGCTGTAAATCAGAATAAGCCTGAAGCAGGCTGAGAGATAAATCATAAGAGAAAACCTAGGAGCCAAGAACAGTCTGTGCTCTGCAGACAATCCATCCCCTCCCCCATTTCCATTCATGGCCATTAGGGAATATGCAAAAAGCAAGGTTTTGTATATTAATTGTTTAGGAGTACACTAATTGATCAAACGTGTTTGATAATTATTATCCTCTGAAAAGACTGCTTCCTGCAAATGCTCATGAATTTTAATCCCCAATCTCAAAGTGATTCATGTCCTCTAAAGCAGGATCTGAATCTGGCAGTAAACATCAAAAATGACCCACTATATTGTTCCAGAATAAAGTTAACCACAATCTACTTCTTGCTTTAGTGGTCATTATTATATCTGTTATTTTAACACACACTCTCTTATGGAGAGGGTGGGGGGAGAAAGATTGGGATGCTCTAGGTCAGGGGCGTCAAACTCGAGTCACACGGGCCGGATGCGTCATGTGCTGGCCACGCCCACCCCCAGTTTAGCAAAGGGGGGAAAGTCGCAATACATAACATGACGCCGCGAGTTTGACACCCTGGCTCTAGGTGCAAACGAATGCCACTTCCACTCACAAAACTGTAAACCACCATTTATGGTTTATTTTCCAGAGTCCAAGTTAGGTTGTAGTGTTTATTTCTGATTGGAATAATTCAAAAAGACGATTTATTTACAAACACCCCCCCCCTCCCATCTTATGACCAGAAGTATACTTTGCACTAAATTACCGGTAATGCAACACAGCATTTAAAAACTAATCAGCAATTTGGGCTGACAGCAGATGGTAGATTGGAAAAAAGAAAAAATACAGAACAACCCATCTGTAATTGAGTTTTTGTGTGATATGGAGACAAAAGCATATAGTATGTCTGGCCACATATGGTCACTCCAGAGCAATTTTCTTATAGGACCACCTAAGACACGTGTAGCAATCAATGCAAATGAGATCCTATGCAATTTGTCAAACTTGGCACCCTGACGTTCCGCCTTTGCTTAAATTGTACTAAACACATAAACAGATTGATTATCGTTGCAGCTGTCTGAAGCCAAAAGATTTACAAAAACAGGAAGAGTCAGGAGAAAATTTGTCTAATATAATTCTTATTTTCATTGCTAATATTTGGAAAATACTTCAAAATAATTGGGGAGATGGTGGAAGAAGATTGACTGATTCCATGCAAATCCAGCATGGTTGCCTAGGCAACACCAGAATGCTTTCTTGCCTTCCGTTGCTGACTCTGCAGCAAAGAAAAGGTGATTTGACTATGCCAGGGGCAATAGCAGATATGAACCAGTTAGAAGCTGCAAGGGGAATAGCATCTCATAGCTATCCCTGAATGTTCAGCTGCCATTTGTTTTATCTAAGTACTTCTGGGAGAGAGAGAGGGGGGGAAAAAGGCTGCCTGGCCAGCCCAATGCAGTGTTTCTTGGTCTTGGCAGCTTTAAGAGGCGTGGGGAATTCTGGGAATTGAAGTCCATGCCTCTTAAAGCTGTCAAGGTTGAGAAACACTGGCCTAGTGTATGGATCCCTTGTCAGATGAGGGCAAAGATTCTGTGCTTGTAACCAATTAGTTACTTCCCCTATAAATAATACTGAAGCAACCTTTTTTTTTTAATTGGATGGATGCAGTTCGACCCCCCCCCTTCCCCGCATGTTTTCACACCGCTGTTGCTCTGAATACATTTATGTGTTTAATCCAGATGGATTTTCTGTTCTCTGGCATGTGATTCTTTGAAACCCAGATGTCAGAGCTCCAGGCAGTTGTTTAACAGATTGCCTTTTGCTTCTCTGCCTAAGAAGATCATGTAATTTGCTCTGTCTTCTTCTTTTTTTTTCACATGTGTGGGCATATTTAACTAAGACAGGCATGCAGGTTAATTAATACCACTCCCAAATCAATGAATAAATAATATTAAAAAAAAATAACAGACTTTCAAAATGCAAGTGTTAGACTCAGGTTCATATAAAAATGTCATCCCTGTCCTGTCCTGTTCCTATCTATCTCATCACCTTTCTTGAAAAATACTCAAGAAGGTAAATGTGGGAATAGGAGGTTGTATCTTCCCAACTTCCCTGTGAGATAATTGACAGAGAAAGGGCTTATGTCTCACAGTATGGTTGAATAGGGAACTAAATTTTTCCATTCAACATTGCTTTTGCATAACTTTAATTTTTTATACCACTCATTTTCTAAAGAACTGTGATGTTACATTGCCTTCCCCCAGTAACTCTATGAAGTCTATTACGCTAAGAGGTCAAAGCTGGGTGACTCAAGTTCACTCAATAAAATTTTTCATTAATTCGGAGGAACTGATTCAAGTCTCTTATGATTCCAAGCAGGGAGAGAAAATCTTTCTGAAGCTTTTTTTCCCCTTGACCTGGAGGAAAAAAAAATATTTCAGCTTCAAAAGTTAGCCAACTAGAAACTTGTGCAACAAAATGGAGGACATTGGGATTTGGCAAGCTTTAACTTTATCTGACTAGTTTAGAGGGCAGTCTACAGTGTAGACATTTAAGTCCTAGCCGGGTTCTATGGGCAGTCAGACAGACACCTATAGCTTGCAAAGACCAGCTGTCATCCATTTTGTTAGTCGGCTAACTTTTGAAGATTCCCCCTCCAGTTCAAGGGAAAAAGCCGCAGAAAGATTTTCTGTCCTTGCTTTCTTAGTTCCTCTACTCTACAGCCTGGAGTCAAGTTAAGGGATAAAGATTAGACAGTAGAGGGGGGGGGGGTTTAGTTTTAGCCCCTAATTGGGGCGGGATGGGGGGGGGGAATCAATAAATCTGTCCTTCCCAGCTTTTTTTTTTTTTTAATTTTGTTTGTTGAACAAATGTGGCTTTCTAGGAGAGAGAGAAGAAGATAAGCAAGGAAAAAGTTTTCGGAAGCTATTCCTGAAGCTGTCACCTTTTACGCAGACCTGGCAGAAGAGTTTTGCAGCCTCCCAATGGCCAGCTGATCAGCAACCAGCTGACTGGTGCAGAAAGCTCTGAAAGGCTTTTATTTTGCCCAGTGGTGAAATTCATTTTTTTTTACTACCGGTTCTGTGGGTGGGGCTTGGTGGGCATGGCAGGGGAAGGATACTGCAAAATCCCCATTCCCTCCCCACTCCTGAAGGAAGGATATTGCAAAACCTCCATTCCCACCCTACTCTGGGGCCAGCCAAAGGTGGTATTTGCCGGTTCTCTGAACTACTCAACATTTCTTCTACCAGTTCTCCAGAACCTGTCAGAACCTGCTGGATTTCACCCCTGATTTTGCCCCAGAAAGGCAGGGTTCCCCTGACAGGAGGAAAGGAAAGGGCAGAATTAGGAAAGGCAGGCATGCCCAGCATTTTCCTTCCCTATTGTTTCTCATTGGCAAGAGAGTCATCTGTGTGGTGGCTGGCATGCAAGGCACTCAAGGGACCGGAAGTGGACCATGGGGTATCTCAGGGTGAGGGAGGCCTCGAGAGGCCTGAAGCAAGTGGGCTTGTGCCTGCAGTAGGCCTCCCAGGATCTCCCCATCCTTAAGCTCCACTTAACAACCCATGCATTCGTTTAACACGTGGGTGTCAAACTCAAATCGCGTCACGTGACATAATGCAACGGTTTTTGCCTTTGCAGAGCCGGGGGGGCGTGGTCTGCGTGGGACGCACCCAGCCCGTGGGCCACCAGTTTGACAGGCTTGGTTTAACAAATGCACTAGAGAAATCAGGGATGGCTGATTATTACTTGAGGCAGTTCATTTAACGTGGTCCCAAATTCCGATCTAATCGGCAGGCTCCATTATAATTGTAACTCGAGGACTACAACCATGTATGTAGCTCATGGTTGAACTGTGGAGTCCTCGGTGCTCTTTGAGCTTGGTCTGCAAACAAACAACCAAGCTCAGAGAGCACCAAAGACTACACAACGATTAACAATATCTTACAGGAACATCTAACCTGGTGAACAGCCAGGTCTTAAGAGACTTCTGAAAGGTTATCATGGATGGGGCCAATCTAATCTTGGAAGGGAATGGTGTTCCAAAGGGCAGGTGCACTGACGGAAAAGGCTTAAGGCCTTGTGTAAGAAAGATATTTCTTAGCAAAGCACTGAAAACTATGTGATATTACAAGTGGTATTCTTCCAGATTTAGAAAAATCTAGAACTAAACATTGGTATCTGATCCAGGAAGCTGTCAGTATTAGCCTTAGGAGAATTATGTATATCCTGGAGGTAGAAAATATCAAGCTTTTCTTGTTTATAATAAGTAATGACTTTTGATTGTTTAACTGATTACCTAAACTTTAAAATTAATTGGTAGACGTTCTCAAATTAGCATAAGAGATGCATAATTTAATGACATCTACCTTAATTGATATTTTGTTCTTCTTATCCAATGTACTTTTTAAAATTTACTCTTTCATAGATAATATTTCTAGCATAACATTTTTAAGAGAATGAAAAAAACAACATCTAGACAATAAAATCCATTAAGAGACAAAAACCCTTCACTGAGAGGACTCTGTGGGATCATATTTTTCAGATTTCATCTCCTTGGTTTGTGTAACTAAAGAAAAAATTGTGCTTACTTTGGTGGGAAATGAAAGAAAATAAAGGAATTAATCTTACAGTAAGTTTAATGCAACTATAAATTTAAAATATACCTCTCAAGCAATGCGCCAAAGAGGAAAACATGGCCCCAATATCGCCTCCCACTCTTCTCTGACTTCTTGATTTTACTGCCTAACTTGCTTCAATCTTCAGGAACTTAAAAAATAAAGCAGCAATAAGAATGAAATATGTTCTCTTCTTCAGCTGTAAAAATCACGCTTCCTTGTTCTAACCACTACCAGTTTTTAAAAGCCAAGGAGTGTGATTTTACAAACTGCTTAGGTAATGCTGCCAAAGAGGTTGAAACATTTTCTAGAACAAATATTTTTATTTAAATCCTATCTTCCCAGTGTAGACTTAATAAATAAACAGCAAAGCTTTGGGTCCTCCCTAGGTAGAATCCTCATTCTCTTTTCTAATTTGTTTGTCTAGAGATGAACAAAAGTATATATAGGAAATATATATTGCAATGTCCCGGGGTCATGCGATTCCCTTTTGGGACCTTCTGACAAGCAAAGTCAATGAGGAAGCAAGATTCACATAACAACTGTGTTAACTAATTTAACAACCACAGTGATTCACTTAACCAATGTGGCAAGAAAACTCGTAAAATTGGGCAAAATTCACTTAACAAGTGTCTCACTTAGTAACATGAATCGTGGGCTCCATAAATCAAGGACTACCTATATTACAATCTTGCCTACAGATATACAAACTTGACTCTTGATGACTTTGATGGCAGTTTAGATAGATGTGGGCACAGAATTCTTTAACATTCACCTACCAGTGTACAGAAGATGCATTGGCATTGTGCTATTGTTGTCATCTGCTCCACAGGATACTCCCCAAGGCAGAGTTTACACAACACAAGAGGATCAAGCACCAAGTCCCAAGTAGGTCTGTATCTGGCTGTAGTCATTGCAGAATAATCTAAAAAGGGAAGGGAACAGTACATCAATTTTTAAAAATCTGTCACAATTTCACATTTCCTTTATTCTGAATATAGTAAAATGTTGTCCAAACAATTTTTCAAGCAGACATGAGCAGCATGAAGGTCATAGATAGCCCTGTCAACTTCCTTTTATTTGTCACTCTGAGTTTCCCGACTTTGTACTGCCAAAATAATCTTTTTTTTTTTTTTTAAAAAGGCAAAGTATACTTTGATAAATTTAACACACATATTTTATTATTTCCCATCATTCCCAAAATTTAATTGTTGCTGTTGATGTCAGTCTGTGGGCTTTGGCCTGGGCCTGTCCTACAGGATGACTAATTTTATTCAACACTGGGGAAGCTGGATCAAATGAATAAATTGCCCTAAATATATCCATTCACAAATCAATGGATGAAGTCAAGGGAAAACCTATTTATTGGTTACTCTAAATGCCAGTTTGATACCCTGGTTGTGCACCTGAAGTGTTTTAACCAATCAGAATATTAATCACATCCATCACAACACCATGAAGCCCATCAATATTTCTGTTTTACATAGCATTTTGGATGTAAGCATTCAAAGAAGCTGTAATGCCTTTTTTCATATCACTACTGATTGTAGTCAGAGGCCTTCAAGCATTACACAATCACTTTTGTGATTCCTCTACTTGCTAAGGAAACAAGAACTATTATTCAATTCTTGGCCACCAAGAGGTATGGGGCTTGTTTTTTTCATTACCATTGGCAACAACTAGATAGAAAACAAGAAAGGAAAGGGGGGGGAGGAAGGTCAAGCAATCTTATTTTCTGAGGGTGTTGTGGCTCATCTCTTCTTGAATTTTGTTCCAAAGAAAAAAGGAAATAAAAAGTCATTGAACAGATTCTAGCTTCAACTTGAAAACCCACTATGATTATGTGAATTTCTACAAGTGTGTTGTGTTTGTACAGGAAGGAAGAGAGGGAAAGGGAGGGAAGAGAGGGAGGAAGAGGGAATAATTATATGTATATTAAACCACAAGTTCTTAGTTTTCTCCTTCTCCTCCTCCATAGTTGTAGGATTTAGGATAATCTGAGTTTGAGTCAAGGTGACACTAAAGTGACAGCAACAAGTATAGCAAGGATAACCATGGGAACTAAAGCAAACTTGATGCTTTAAATGGGATATTGTGTACATCTATTTGTCTTCTATTCATTCTTGACCTTATTCCTTTCCATTTTACCACATTTCTTAAGTAATCCATTCCTATTGTATTCAGTTTATTTGTATATGGTAGTCTTTTGCTTTTTTTTCAACTATCATTCATTCTAGGCAATAGCCCATGTTCTATCTACAACCTTTCTTTCAAAATCTGAAGGTCTTAAAATGTTCCTATTTCCTCTTATAGCAAGGTTATGTTTTCTAACAGGTCCTCATTTTTTCAACAGTATTATTATTATTATTATTATTATTATTATTATTATTATTATTATTAAAATTTATATACCGCCCTTCTCCCCGAAGGGACTCAGGGCGGTGAACAGCCGAAAATTAAAATAACATACAATATAAAAGTTAAGATAACAAAAAATAAATTAAATTAATCGGCCCCCCAATTTAAAACCCCAAGCTATACAATTAAAAAACTAACCCATAAAATCTATTCAGGCCAGGCCCGCTTGCTGAAATAAAAACGTCTTCAGGGCCTTACGGAAAGTGCGGAGATCCGGGATTAGTCATATTCCGGGAGGTAGCTCGTTCCAGAGGGCGGGAGCTCCCACAGAGAAGGCTCTCCCCCTGGGGGCCGCCAGCCGACATTGCTTGACCGACGGCACCCTGAGGAGGCCCTCTCTGTGAGAGCGTATTGACCGGTGGGAGGTTATTGGTAGCAGAAGGCGGTCTCGTAAATACCCTGGCCCTAAGCCATGGAGCGCTTTAAAGGTGAGAACCAACACCTTGAAGCGCACCCGGAAGACCACCAGGAGCCAGTGCAGCTCGCACAGGAGAGGTGTTATATGGGAGTGCCACGTCGCTCCCGTAATCACCCGCGGGGCCGCATTCTGGACCAGTTGGAGCCTCTGGGTGCTCCTCAAGGGGAGCACCTGGAGGCTCCCCTTGAGGAGCATGTGGGGTTTCAACAGTATGAAACCCCACATGTAAAATACATTTCTGTATTACAAAATCATATTGGAAATTGCAAATGTGAGAAAATTCTCATCCATTTCTACTCAAATAATCACCCTACATCAGAGGGTGAGTTACTGTAGTATTACCCAGTATGGTATGTTTATTAATGCTGAACTAGATATGGTAAAACTCAAATCGATTTCCCATTGAGTCACTGAGATTAATGGGTAATTTTCCTCTTGAAAAACATTGAAATGGAGACAGATCACCAACTAACAACCTCAGATCATTCTCTCTATATATATGTCTATGTAAGTTTTCACGGTACATATGTGTGTACAGTTAATATTTCGGATTTCTTCCCGTGTAATTGTGAACATATCCCTAAAAGGGTAGAAGCGACGTTTCGACAGAATGGACGTTGTCTTACCTGAACGTCCCTTTTCTGGGCGCTGCGTACACTATCCATGCATGGGTTAATCCTTCAGTGCTTGGCAAACAACTGAGTGAAAACAAAAGACTTTTCCTCCCCTTTCCGGCTCCCAAGCCACGCCTCTGTTCCCATGATCCCCCAGTCTGAACGAAGGCGCAGCAGACAAGAATCCACACTATGAGTAACTTATGAACTCAACTTTATTAACTCAAATAACGTAATGGAAAAAGAACTAGTCTCAGTCCTAAGCAGGGGGCAGGCAGCCCTAACGGGCGGGATATGGATAGTGTACGCAGCGCCCAGAAAAGGGACGTTCAGGTAAGACAACGTCCATTTTCCTGTGCGCTGCTCCCACTATCCATGCATGGGATATACCCAAGCCTAAACTCCCTGGGTGGGAAGCTGACTGTCCCCAGAGTCCTCCTCCGTCAACACCTTCTGCAGAACTCTGCGCCCAACGATGCCTCAGCCGAGTTGAACACATCGATCTTGTAGTGGCGGATGAACGGTGTGAGGGACGACCACGTCGCCGCTCTGCAGATGTCCACGACCGAGGCTTGGGAGGCCCAGGCCGCCGTGGTGGCCGCGCTGCGAGTCGAGTGCGGTAGGATCCTGCCGGGACCCGGTTTGGAGGACAGGTCATACGCCAGGGCGATGCAGGCCTTGATCCATCTGCTGACCGTGGCTGTTGATATCTTCTGACCCATGGACTTCGGGTTGAAGGAGACCAGGAGACCCTCCGTACGACGGAAGGGAGCGGTCCGACGAATGTAAGTGCAGACGGCGCGTCGAACGTCTAGAGTGTGCCACCTCTTTTCTCTGGGGTCGCGAGGTGAAGGGCAGAAATCTGGCAGGATGAGCTCCTGGGCTCGGTGGAACCACGAGTTGACCTTCGGGATAAAGGCGGGATCCAGGCGAAGCGTTACGGTTGAATCGTGGAAAATACATAAATCCTTGCGGACTGAAAGAGCTGCTAGTTTTGAGACTCTCCTTGCCGAGGTGATCGCCAGCAGGAAGGTCACCTTAAGTGATAGGTGTTTAAGAGAGGTCGAGTCTAGTGGCTCGAATGGGGCCCCGGTCAGCGCCCGCAATACCAGAGGCAGATCCCAAGAAGGGTAACGGTGTACTGTGGGGGGTCGCAGGTTGGTGGCCCCATGCAGGAACTCTTTGATGCGCGGGTGGTGCGCGAGGGATTGGTACGGCGGGCATGTGATGACTGTGGACAGCGCCGCTGTCTGTCTTCGTAAGGTTGCCGGGGCCAAACCTTTTTCTAGGCCAGCTTGTAAAAACCGCAAAATGTCCCGGATAGTCGCTGACGTGGGGTCGGTATGCTGGTGGGCACTCCAGCGACAGAACGCCTGCCACGAAGACTCGTAGATGCGGGTCGTAGACGGGCGCCTGGCTGCCTGGATAGTGGCAACTACCTCATCTGGCAGGTTATCCTTCTTCAGGATGACCCGTTCAAATGCCAAACGGCTAATTGCAGCCACTGGGGCTCTGGGTGCGTGACTGCTCCTTGACACAGAACTAGCTGCTGTGGTGGGATCACCCATGGCTGTTCCACGGACAGTGCCACCAGGTCGGCGAACCATGGTCTCCGGGGCCAGTTCGGGGCTACCAGGAGTAAGTCTGCTTTTTCTGCCAGTAGCTTTCGAATGAGGCGCGGGAGCAGTGGGACTGGTGGAAATGCGTATAGGAGGCCCCTGGGCCACCTGCATCGTAGCGCATCGTGGTCCTCCGCTTGTGGTGACGGGTAACGAGATATGAAGCGGGAAGTTGAGCGTTGGCCGGAGTTGCGAAGAGGTCTACTGCCGGGTTCCCGAAGCGCGAGGTGAGTTCTCGAAACAACTGAGGGTGGAGCTGCCATTCCGCTTGATCTATTGTTTCGCGGCTGAGCCAGTCCGCTCTCACATTGGTTGCGCCCGAAATGTGGTCTGCTCTGATTGAGAGTAGATGTCTCTCTGCCCAGCTGAACAGCTCTGCGGCTTCCCTCATCAGGGTACTGGACCTCGTGCCCCCCTCCCTGTTGACGTGCGCTTTGGCCGAGATGTTGTCGGTCAAGATTAGGATGTGATGCCCCTGCACCGTTGGCTGGAAGTTGCGCAGTGCCAGTTTGATCGCCCGCAGCTCTAGGAGATTGATGCTGCATTGCCGTTCTTGGAGCGACCACTGTCCTTGCGTGACTAGGTTGCGGAGATGGGCTCCCCACCCCGAAGGCTGGCGTCGGTGGTGAGTATCAGACGGTCCGGCTCTAGGAAGCTGGACCCCTTGAGGAGCGATGGCGATGTCCACCACCTGAGAGACCGGCGGACCTGAGGCGTGAGACGAACCTCCTTTTTGGAATTGGCCCTTCCCGCTCGTTGGAAGGGAAGGAGGAACCACTGCAAGGGTCTCGAATGTCTGCGTGCCCACGGTACGATGCCGAAGCAAGATACCATCTTGCCGAGGAGGCTTGAGAGG